TGGAAAAATTTAAGATATTAGCTGGATCTTATATTATAAGTAAAAATTAATCTTATATAGCTAATGTTGTTGCAGTGATCGCAATATTAGCTATCAGGAATATTGCTAGGACATACTAAACTATAGATATAAGATCTTGAACTGGAAAATACTATGCTCCTTAGCTCATGTACAACTACAGGAATCGAAATTTTTGCCTTTGGCGATAAAAATAATAAGACAATCAAAGAGCCGTTAATGAGTAGATGATGTACTCTTCTTGTTCGATAACCGCATTTTTGGTCGATATGAAATGATACCCATGCTAGCTAATAACCTTCTGATTTCTTCCTTCAAAGCTGAACTTGCAAAATTGTACAGTATAGGATTGAAGACGCATGGTTGGATCATAATTAGTGAGGACATTTCAGAAAAAGCCCAAAATCCTGACGGATAGGATAAATAAAAGCGTGGGTCGATTACTTTACGATAAGCCATGAATGCATATAGAATAATAAATGGGCCAGTAGATATAGTGGATAGGATAGTACTTGACAGTAAAGCAGTTATACTAAATTTTTTCTTTTGTATCATTTTCCTAATTTTCCTTTTATAGGATAATTCATAAAGAGGGATTTTCCTCACGTAAAGTTTGGCAATAATCATGGTGTAACAGATAGCAATGACAAGCAGTGGAATAACACAGCTGATGATAGCGAATATTATGGTGCAGATCGCACTGGTGAAACGAAAATCTTTGGAATATATTCCAGTGCAATCTATAATTTTATTTTCCTCAAAATTGATTGCAAAAGCGATTAAAAACGATCCCCCAATTGAAATTGACCAAGAAGAAAGTAAAATAACAGTTGTTTTCCGCCTACCATAAGGCGACTTAAAAGGATGCTGTACTGTATGGCATCGTTCCATTCCAATAAAGGCCAGCGAAAGTAATGAATTGGATATTGATGTAGCAGCAAAAAAGTTCGTAATCCGACATATAATATTCACCGATACCACCGTTGGGCCATGAAATGCATGAGGATAGGTTGAGATTGCGATAGGAATGGGTATATTTAAGACAAATGATCAAGCTATGGGCCATGTCGGATAGAGCAACATTGGCAATCAAGCGATTAAGAGGTTGCTGAAGAAACTGCTTGGTAAAAATTACCAAGCATACCGTAAGGTTAAATAAAATACCTAACGAGCAAAGAAAATATACGGCGATTGAATAAGGTAATTGATACCAAACATGTAAGGTGTAATTTGGATTACTTCCATTAAACATGGCTTTAATTTTTATTTGATAGGTAAGTAAACTGAACTTTAGAATCGTATTGTGTAAAGAACTAAATACTGTAAATGTATTTCAGTACCATTTGGTTGGAGAATTATTGAATTGCTTAGCATTAAATTTTATATAATGATCCTATCAAATGTCTGCTTTTAACTTAATCAAGCCCCTTCAATGTATTCATTGAGCAAGTTTCCAAGGCAAATAATTTATTTGTGTGGACAGAAACAGATACTCGACTGCCGTCAAAAGATTTGTTTCCTTGATAGAAAATTGATAACATTAAATACATTATTTTATTATCAACGTTTGGAAGACAATTAATTCCAGTAATTTAATAAAGCCTTATGATATATGATAGAGTCATTTCAATAAAAGAATATATTGTATTCAATTTATAAAATTAGGTAATAAAGTCCTTTGATACATTCATGAACTTTCTAGATCTTCTCATAATATCATTTTTTGTATTGTTACATAATATAAGATGTTCAGTTATTCTATTTACAATAGCACCAATCAAGTAAAGATACAAGAATAATAATTGACAGCATTGAATACATGGTTCCAATAAAATTGGATGCTCATAACCAAAAAATGAAGAATAGAATTAGAAATTTTAAGTATCTTTAAGAGAGAACTATAAGTATTGTCTATCTCAGCAATAAATTAGCCGCCTAACGTTTGGATGCGGTATTTCATAGAAAATGGTGTTCATAATTACAGTTAAATGAGTTTAAGGACATTTAAGTTTAAGGAATTCAATATTTGCGGTCCTGGTGGAGAATATCTATAGATGTTAAAGTAGGCTACTTAAGACAAATGCCATCAATTTACTTATTCAAAGAGGTTTTGCGTTAGCTAAGGGTAAATACGAAGTTTTGTTTGATGAAGAAAATCAAGTCGTCGATTTTAGCTAGTGCTATTTTATACATCATATAACGTATATACGTTTGCAAGTGTGCAGACGCGATAAAGTATTTTATACCTTCATAGCTGAAAACATTTTATAAATGTCTTGTTGTTACGGGGCCATGCTCCGAAATATTAACTGCTATGTTAATTAAAATATCTCACTTAAAATTATTGTTTGCTCCAGTAGCTTATTAGATATTAATGTTTATTAATAAGTACTTGTTATTGCCAAGGTATCAGAAAGTTCTATATTGTTGACAGTCGGAGCTAACATGCTTAGTCAGTAAACGTTAATTAATAACACCTTAAGTGTAAGGTGCAATTACTTTGTAGAGCCTTGAAGCTCTAGTTGCTATACTAGGATATGTATACTGTACAGTGTAAGTCGCTATGTCAAGAATATTCACAAGTGCACCATCGGCGTTGGCCGAGACTATAAAAAGCGGAGCACTAGCTTAGCTGCTCAGTTCCAGTTAGTCACTGCAGGATCTTTTGACTGTTATTGCTAAGAATTTTTTTTACGTTTTTCTTTAAAACATTTTACGGCAAGATTAACGACAATAAAGTGAAGTATTTAAACCTTTTACTCATTAGTAATTTATTTGTGTAACTGAGAGTTAGTTACACCTGCGATAGGTCCATAAGTTATTTGGGTACACGAGAACTAGTGAAGATAGTGTTTAAGACCCTTTTTCTGGTTACAAAGGAGATTTGTAACTGCGGGTAGTTCAGCAAAGTAAGAGAGTCCTTTCTTGTTGGAGGCCCTCAGCTAATCAATTACGTTGTATCTTCGTAAACGAGGTTTTGTTTAATAAATCTAAAATTTTCTAAAGTATTGAAGATTCTTGATCTATCAACCTCACAATGAATAAAAGGGTTTAATAACTATGTTGCACATCCTGAAGCAATTAATATCATTCTCTGGTAAAGAATTTGAAGTATCGAGTCTCGAGATTTCGTAGTTAATATTATTTACATAAATGTGGGCAGCTTGTAAGCGAGCTTCGAATGAATTTATAAAGCAAAGTTTAAGGCTTAATAACTATGTTGCATATCCTCAGGCGATCACTATCATTCTCTATAAACTGCTGGTAACGTTTACACATATACAAACAATTCGTATACAAGTTTCCCATGAATTAAGAAAGTACTGTAATTGTTATCGAAGATTAATTAAGCTCTAACAAAGAAAGCGCGAGCAAGATTGGGCTGAATAAAAAGATTTAAGAACTTTATTGCATATCCAGAAACGATTGGTATCTTTCTCTAGTGAGCAGTTTGAAGCATTAAGTCTCTGGATTTCATAGCTCATAATATTTACATAAATACGGGCAGTTTGTTAGCGAATTTTGTGCAAATTAACAAAGTAAGGTTGAAGGTCTACTAAGTACCGGCATGTTGCACATCCTGAAATAATCGCTGTTATTTTCTATAAATTGCCGGCAATACGAATCTATAAATATGTAAACAGTTGGTTAGCAAGTTTCGCATGAATTAAGAAAGTAATTGCTAAGATGATTACTTAAGCTTTACCAAAGGAAACACGAGCATGATTTGGAAGTAGTGATGACAAAGAAGTAGAATATACAATTTAAATGGATGGTCTTTATTCCTCGGTCATCAAATCTAATACAGCAAGGGTTACGATAGGAAATACCACGTACTACAGATTATTCCTATCGAGAAAGATGGCAGTAAATAAAAGGTTACAGTATTTATTGTGGCGGGCGGATCATAGTGAAGAAAAATCTAAGCTTAAAATTAATCGTAGCAAACATAAAACTTTGTATGATAATGTATACTAAGAAATATGCATACACGAGTGCGATGGACAGCAAGTAATTAAGCCTATTCGGCTTATTTAATTCCATGTGAATAAACATTTAAAGTAGCTCCTTTGACTGTATAACGGTAAGTATCCAAATTTCTACTAGGCGTTGAAGAAGGTATCTTAAGCTATTTGTATTACGTCTCATTTTTGAAATATAAAGAATGATAAGTGGACCATAGGAGAAATTGTTCACTACTTAAAGTATTTTAACGTATTCTCTATGAAAAACCAATCTTGCTTGTCAATGGCTTCCTTAGAGAACCAAAGGCAATCTTATTATCTAACAGCTCCTGTTTCGTAACTTAAAACGTTCGGATACTTTAAACGAGTAGTCTCCATTGAAGTGTTGTTTTTAACTCATATCTTATACATCAATTGAAATTCATTTGCCCTTACGGCGTTTATTCCACAGTCATACCGTATGATTGAAATCATGAGTAGTGTAATATCAACGACCGATCGTTAACCTGCAATTAAGCTTTCCTATTGCATATAAAGCTATCCGGTCTGTTTATTTGTCTTCGCTAATTACAAATTTTACAACATCAATGCAGTTAATTGCCATTGATCCTGGCCATAGCAACAATACGCTGAATAGACATGGAACAAAGTGGAAAAAGGAGTAAAATAGCATCCATTTTATCATCTCACAATAGGCACTACAAGGAGATAACTGCCAAGAAGCAACCGGTTGATTACAAAGAATTCATAGAATTCTTAAGGGAAATACACCATTAACATTATAATGATATTTTATCCATAATTTCATGTACGCCTTCTGAACTTGTGGTACAAATCTCTAGAGGCCATATTTAATAAAACTTTTCAATTATCCAATATGGACGTATTAAAAAAATGAAATCTGCCACGTATTTACTCTTCACAAACTAGTCAACTCTTCTGCTTTCGGCTATCCAATAGCCCAAAAGAATAGCCTAACATTGAATGCGTTATTTTTATGGATTCAGGGATATCGTAATGGCATTCGATGGCTCTTTGGGTAATCCACAGGGAATAAAATCTTACACACCCTGGTCATAAGTTAGGCCGTTACAATTTAACGAATCAATAAGTTTTCAAATTATTCGAGAAGGATGGTAATGAAAACTTGGCGTTGAGAGTCAAAGTAGCAATTAAAACGCATATCGCTATAAACTCTTAGCCTGTTTTAAAGTTTTAAGCCTAGATGGTCAATCAATTTACAAGTTTGAAGTGTTTACGGATGTTAAAATTCCTTAAGATCGACAACAAAATCGCCACCGTCGGTAGCCTTAAGCAATATCAAGACATTATTTAATATGAAACGTAAGGGAAATCGCTATGAAATATAAAATAATTTGTAGCAATTGAAAGGTTTTAGGAATGGAATGATTTACTGTAATTGATAAAATCCAATTTATCGTAGTGTCAACTCTTGTATTGCAAATTAGTGCTCGATAGAACCGATAGACATTACTCTGTACAAGATGTATTTTGCTATCGTATAAATAAATAAAATCTAAAACTAGTTGTTAAACCAATTTTCCCAGTTTCAAAGAAGAGCAAATATGGAGAATATAACCTTATCACGACAGTAAGCGGCGATTTGTTCATAACACTCCATGAAGGGACGGAAAATGAACTGGTAAGAGAAACAATAATATTGATGATTTCATTGAACCACTTTAAGGGTATTTTTAAATTCGGCGCCGATAATTTCTGATGCACTGTATTATACGGTCCCATTTTTAGTCATCGTTTTAGTTGATTAATGACTAAATTTGCCTAGGATCAAATCAGTAAGCTGAGTTAATTATTTCTTTACCTTAATACTATATTCGACTAAATTTCATTAATTAATAAATCTCAATTACTGTAGATTTTTAAAACCTTAATTTTATATTCTTTAATGGCATGAATCTTTCAAACGAAATAGAATTTATATATAACCAGTGCATTTAATTTTAAATTAAAGTGCTGTTCAAACTTGATTTTATTTGCCACATTTATTCTTGTCGCTTTAAATATAATACTGCACTACTATTTGCAGCTAATCCAGAGATTATTTATTTCTCAAAGCTATTAACCGTACTACGATAATCATGCATTCCAGTTCCGGAATGATACTAGACCATGTTTATATTTTATTGAGAGCTATTTCTTTCGAATTTGCAAATTAACATGCCCAATATTTTTTTTAATAACTATCGAATATAGCAATGCTTTGGCTACCAAACCGATTACTTAAAGGTTGGTTTCTAATAAAAGATTGCTGTCAGCTACGAATGATATTTAAATTAATATAAATACAGTAAATTATCATTTACAAATAGTGTGATGATTACTTTTCGATTCTAAATTGACTTATCACATTGTTCGTGAAAGCGATTTTAGATGGTTTAATAACAAAGTAACCTAGGTTGCTCTAATGTCTACATTCGTATCGTCAAAATAGGCTTTTCTGTACTATTTATTTTGCCTACTGACACTTAGTATCTTGTGGTTGGTTGGCTATTGGCGTCCTGATTGGAAACATAAACTCACTCATAAAGCTTGTCCTTTGGCAAAAGCAGATTCTGTGCTCATTCGTGTTAGTGTCTTCCAATAATGTTCAAATCTAAGCAATAATTCAACTGAAGAATCGCTTCTTTAACTTACTTTGCTTTCATTGACAAGTCCTGTTTGATAATCACTTCAAAAAATGTTCTTTGGGACATATACGCATACAGTGCAATTTTATAACTTGAAATATTATCTATAGTTATTACTGCAGAATATTATTTTGTGTTATTACATTGGAAATTGAATCTCAGATTAAATCTTGCCACAGTATTAATATCTGCAAGAACGGTAAAGTTTCTAATTCATGTACTGTAAAGTAGTAACTTTATATTTCGTGATATAAATAATTTCACTCGTAGCATGAACAGAATTAGTAGACTAATTTTAATAGTATGTTCTAATTTGAAATTAAATCGCTTTTAAATGGCAGCAAATAAACCTATTGCTTTCTTTAGAAGTAGACCTCATAGTTTTATAAACATCGAAGCGCTTTATAACTGTCAACTATTTAATGTTTATTCTGATACTATTTTTCTCTTAAAGGACCCAAATAATCAGCACCATCCTGTTAAAATTGAAATTTTCAAAGATCATCCACGAAGGTAAAATTATACTATTCTTGATCAACTGCCATATCATTTAAATTATGTACGAATCTGCTATGCGTCATTCAACACCAACGAAATTTAGTCTCTTTTCTCAGGGACTAGAAGCGTCATATTGGCATGATACAGAACTCAAAACAATTATAATTATTATTTTAATCAAATAAGATCCTGCTACATTTTCAAAGATAACTCTCCAACGTAGAATTATACCATACTTGATAAGTTTTCATTTAAATCGTGTGAAGTCCTGCTATATGTCAATCATAATTGAAAAAAAACTAGCAACTCCTCGCACGGCTAAAAGCTTCATAGCTGGCATGATATAGAACTTAAAATAGCTTAGATTATCATGTCCTGCTATATCTTACTCATCACCAAGAAAAGTTGTAGCTTTTGTCGCGGACTATAGACTTTACATCTGGCATGATACAGAACTCGAAATAGCATTTGTTTTCCAATAAAATTTTACTCTTAGAGTAAAGGACCGTCAAATAATCTATAAGAATGAATATATACCATTTATTTCTATTCTAGAACTGCCGATGTGGAGGAAGAATCATCTCAAGGTAGTGCTTATGACTTCATCACAGACAGTTCGTTGGTAAGCTTACAAAATGTCAAATTTTCCTGTCTAGTTTTGATAAAATTATTACTACTATGTAGCAAATAGTAGCCAATTCTATGATTTTCTAATTTAAATATTAGCATAGTACTTATACAAGTAAAATATTTTATTGAACCGTTTTCAACAAGTGCTGTAATCGTCTTAATTTTAACAGCCTACAAAATCCAAATTTTTCGAATTTCGTTTTGTTCGCTATTTCTGGGATGAAAGTAAGAACACATTTGTTCCACTCAGGTAATTAATAAAATTGATTATCATTTCTATATATTACTATGATATTTATAGATCTAGAAATCTATTTATTAAATATGAAGTTCCTACTGTATCTCTTTAAAATTGCAGTTCTAAAGAGTTATTTCGAGCATATGCAGATAAATTTCTATTTCCAAATACTTACGCTCATATCATTTCCGAATTAGAAATGTTTCATGAATGGATCATAGAACCTTTAGGCATACTATTAAATCGATTGACTTTAAAACGTCCGCATTATGTATAGATGGCAAAATTAGCGGCCTTTTAGCTATAATAAATGGTCAATACGGCTTATTGACATTGTTTATCCTTCTATGTTAGGGGTCTCGATCAAAACTTAACATTTCAAGAGATTCGAAGTCAACTTTCACATGGACTCTACGAAGGTCAAGCAAAACGAAGGTATCCCTTAACTTTGTAGATGTATAACTATGAAAACAAGCAAGATAATTTGCATCTTTAAATACTGCGATAAATATTAAATTTTCATTTTTATCCTGCGTACCCAGAATGCTTATTTTCAAGAAGAACTTGATTGATATTAAAGTTAAAAGTATGTTCCTCATATTAGCTGAAGAGGCGAGTGCATTTTGATTATATTACGAGTCAATCAATAAAATACTTTAAAGATCGAACGGCTAGAAATAAACTTTGAAATTCACAATTTTAATATTTTAGGCTTCGCATCCATTCTACATATTCCAGTTATTTAGCATTGCATTTTGGATTGTAGACAAATACTACTATTTTGCAGGGGCAGTTTTCATCGTGTCTATCTTTTCAATTACCGTTTCAGCAATTCTAACTCGACAGGTAATGGATCATCTTTATTAACAACATTCAATCACAAAATAACCTATTTATTTTTACTACCTTGGTATTCATTTTTATCATACTCGTATGATATAGAATTGCGTGCGATTAAGAAAATTAGCAACATCTTCATCGCTGATAACAGTTTTGCGACTTGATTCCGGTTTGCACTTAGAATCAAAGTTAGGATCCATTTTTAAAGACCAAATGCGCTAAGTTAAATCAAATTATTCTTTCTTAGATGACCCACAAGAAATTTCGAGTACTAATTTGGTGCCAGGGGATCTAATTGTAATTCCACCTGAGGGAATGACAATGGAATGCGATGCTATCCTAATTACTGGCAACTGCGTTGTGAAAGAAGGTTTCCTGACAGGTTAATCCTTTCTCCTTATTGAAGCAGCTCATTTTAAAGGAACCTCTTGCAGATTATGTACTAGAAAATCTTAATTTCTATGGCAATATAAAACTCTCTCGTCTTTGCAAAACACAGGTGAAAGCGTTTCTACTGTCAAGACCCACATTGATGACTCTAAAGCCAGATCTACTTACAATCCAATCATTCACACAGAATACACTTTATTAGCTGGAACACAAGTTATCCAAGCGAGAAGCACTGATTCGACACAAGTTTTAGCTGTTGTTATGCGTACTGGTAAAGAAAGAAATTAAATACCTTTTAAGCAACATAGCACTTATCGAAAAGTAACGTAAAACTTTTCTCTTTAAATGGCAGGATTTTATACGGTCAAGGGTGGATTAGTGCGCGATATCTTGTATCCAAAGTCAATGGATACAGAACTATATCGCGATGCTTGTCGTTTCTTAGGCCTTACGGTCGTCATAGGTTAGTATTACCTTTAATAAACTGTTTCTAAATTACTTAGATCTCAACTATTCTTTCCATTTTCATTACTGCTACTCAATTTATTTCTATTACCACAATATAGCTTTGTTAGGAATCATCTACTCTGCTGCAGTCCTCTGCGCTAATCGGGTAAGTTTATAAAACATTCCTTACTGTTATAAGCGTAATAAGTTCCAGCTAATCATAAAGTATCCTTCTAGGCCACTACAAAGAATATCGTTTTGAGAACTATCGATATTATTACTATTGCAATTCCACCACAACTACCAATAGCACTCTCCATTGGTGTCTCATTCGCATTAAATAGATTGAGAAAAGCGGGTATATTTTGTATCAATCCATCTAGGTAAACTATGACTAAAATTTAGGAGTTGTATGGTTACTAGATAGTAGACCAATAGCGTTTTTTTTAGCTGAGTTTTATTCGCTAATAATGGAATTTTATTTTTCACACGCATTATTTCTTGTTCTTATATTGCTTAGGATAAATATCAGTGGAAAGATAAATCGCATCTGTTTTGATAAGGTAAAGTATCCATATCGACCAAGGCTACCGCTTAGATTTAGTCAACCTGTTATGACATGACGACGAGAATAACTATAACCTATTTACATTTGATTTCTTCTATCACAGACGGGAACTTTAACTGAAAATGATATGGAATTTTCTGGAATAATATCAGTGATAAATAGGAGGTAGTATATTGAGAGAGATAGTGATTGTTAGGATTTGAGACGATGAGAAGGAATCATCTCTGCAAATGAGCATCATTTCAATATCAGTTCATTAAATTAATCCAATGGCGTTATCTACAGGTCCTTAATCCATGATTTAATAATATCTTAATATCGTAACTATTAGATTCATCGAATTTAATCCAGAAATGCACTTTAATCCATGGAATCCAGTCGGAATTGTCATGGCTACTTGCCATTCTATCGTTTTAATGAAAGATGGTGAATTATGTGGTGCTCCAATGGAAATAGGAATGTATCGCAACACGGAATGGGTAACACTTTATTGACCAGAAAGAATGATTAAAACTGATAGATTAATTTAAATTGTCTTTTTTTTAAAGACACTCCATGAAATAGAAAGCGGCAACAAAAAATATAATGTACCTATAGAATCAGTTTTGAGACTATCAACCTATACAAAAGCGCAATGTGTAAGCCCCATCTTTGGACTACTTCTATGCCAATATAAATGGCGTTTGCTTTTTAAATTTCCTCATTAATTATTTTACGGTAGCGAATTGAAAGACATTGCTTATAACTTTAGGGACCAACAGAAATTGGAATATTGAAGCGATTCCATTTTTCCCCAGAACTAAGGCGAATGTCTGTTGTAATTATGACACCCGAGGAAAGAAAATTATATTTAACTATGAAAGGCGCTCCAGAAACTGTTATCCGATTTTGCAACGAGGAAACCGGTAAAATAGTTGAATAATCGCTATCATCATGATAACTAACATTATGCTTTCTGTTTTCTTTGCAACTCTATTTGATATCTTTCTACAATTTTTTACAACAAGAAATCCAGTAAAATAATTAAATTAAAGTTATCATATTAAAATTTATCGTTATGCTTCCTATATAATTTGTAACTCTGTTAGATTTCTTACTACAATTTTAATGCTATAAAATGAATTTAAATCGTTTTTTTGACAGTACCATATGATTTTACCCGAATCTTACGAGAGTATACAACTCATGGCTATCGCGTTATTGCCCTAGCTCATAAGCAGCTAGAATCTGAGATATTACCAGAAAACATTTCACAGTTGTCCAAGTAAGTTAGGCGATGCTATTAGAAATGTCATTAGGAACGTATTTAACATCTGTTTTTATGACAGTCATGACCTGGAAAAGAACATGACTTTCGTTGGATTACTTCTTTTCCAAAACAAGTTAAAGGCAGAAAGTTCAGAAGTTATCGAGCAACTTATTCATGCTAATATCCCTGTTAATATGATAACTGGTAAAATTTACTATGTAAATAGAGAAGTAGCGCTGGATTTAATATCGACATCATTGTACTTGACAAATCTAGGCGACCATTTGGAAACTGCCATAGATACAGCTAGGAAATGCAATATTATACAACAAGGTAGCAGTATTACGTGTATTGACATCGATGAAGATGATAACGATTATGAAAAGGAATTGGAAAAATTACTGCAGCAATTAAAACTTTTGGAAGATGATCGGGTCTGATTTGCACCAATATTTGCAATCGTCTACTTGTAACCTACATTACTTCTATTCCAGTAATTACAAGAACAGCATTGCAATTTAATTTTTTTAGGATGTGAAACAAGATCTCAACTTTCGTACGAATAATATTGCCTGCACTGGCAGGACATTAAATGTTTTACTTCAGTACAGACCTGATTTGTTTTTCAAGGTCGGCTAGCACAAAAATTTATAAATAATTTAAAGTTTTATTCCGACTAATGATAAATGTTTTGATTAGTTTATATCTCAAGGTGTCGTATTTGCTCGTATGTCCCCTGTGGATAAAGCACAACTAGTAGAAGGTTTAGTTGAATTAGGGTTAGTCCAGCAAATATAGAATGCTATTTAACTGGCAAGACTATAAAATAGAAGCTTAGAGATAATTTTGATGATCAAATCATTTTCAGAAATTATGTTGCAATGTGTGGCGATGGTGCTAATGATTGCGGAGTTAGTAAACTACTTTATTCTCTAAATTTTTAAATTTGTCCATGATTTAATAGTGATATTTATAAGCTAACTTTGCTTATACACATATTATAGGCATTAAGCGCTGCACATATTGGTATATCATTAAGTGATACTGAAGCATCTGCAGTTTCACAATTTACCTCTAAGGTTAGCTCATAATTTGATTTTCTGACAATTTTAAAGTTAATTGGGTCTCACGCTAGAGTTTTCGCAATTATTCTTACTGTAGATATCTGTAGCGGTAATTTTAACTTTAATTTGATTAGCAAATACCACTAAAATGCATTATCACATAAGCCAATGCTAGCAAGTTCAGAAAATGTCTAAAAGTTCTATTTATTACTAAGGCCACTAATGCTACTGTTTAAATTTCAGATTTCCAACATCTCATGCGTCTTAGATGTTATCAGGTAACATTGGCTTGTTCTTAATTAGGTCGAACTTGTAAAATCATTAGCGTCATGCTATAGTGTTATGCTGCTAGAATTAGAAAAGTTTAATCATGAACTATGATCCTGGACTCACAGGGAAGGGCGGGCAGCCTTGGCAACATCTGTCTGTATTTTAATGTATGTACTAATCACCGCAATAGCAGAATTAATGGCTGTGTTACTTTTATACTGGGTAAGACCTTGTAATCATTTTCTAATACACATATTGACTAGCTATTTCAATATTAAGTCCTTCATTGTCATTTAAATTCATTCCATTGATAAACGTAGACCAGCAGCAATTTCTCAGACTTGCAATTCCTATACTTGGATTTATTTCTTTCTTTTATGTTGATTATCACAAGTAAGTATATTTATCTTCCTAATATAAAATCTTTTAAAATATTTTTCGTTAGCATTAACAGTTGGTGAATTCTATTTGATATTATTACCCTTTAAACTATTGCTAGTGAGCCGAGCTACGCCGCATCGGAAACTTTCTGTGCAAAGACCAAGCATTACTTTGTTCAATTTTAATATCATATTAACCTTAGCAGTCTTGTCTGTTATCACCATCGTAGGTCAAGCTATTGCTTACATATTCTTAAAATCAGTACCATGGTACGACGTAGTCGACAACTCTTCATTAAAATGGTTTCCAAGTAAAACTATATGCTCATGTTTTTATTTTGTTAACAAGCTTCTTTATCTCATTGGATTAAATAGGTACAAATATTCTGTCCCATTATCCAACGGATCCATTAGGGAATTTACTTTGGAAGGCACTACACTGTTCTACTATGTTTCATATCAGTTTATATGGATAGCAGTGATTCTAACACCAGGTCCACCTTTTCAAAATAAGATGTATAAAAATTGTGAGTTGCTAATAGTTGGTTCATTCTAACTTTGATTGCATTGCTCGAAAGCTTAACAGCTGCCGTCATTGTGCGGTGGTAATTGAATGTAATGCACGATTTCTATCGTCTAGGGTCATTCATATTAGCTCTTATAATTACTCTTGCCGTCTCTACTGTTTTACTGTTTCATCCTGGTATTGCAGCAAATTCGTTAAAGGTAAGCTGCTGTGCCTTAGGCAATGCCTTTAACATATGGACAGGAATCCAAAAGTATCATATCAAAATCAAAGTTTATCTGAAAGTTACTTTATGAGCTATAGATGAGTAATACTTACTAATTTATTCTTTCCAGCTAAAAGCAATTCCCGATGTCATATATAAAATTCTAATCCTTATTATGGGATTCGTGTACTTCACGCTTTCGTATGCATTCAAGGTTTGATATGGCAATTGCGGATATTCTGCAAGATACAATCTTTACTGATATCTTAATGCTGCTTTTTCCTCAGGAATTTGTGAATACGGTGGTTAAGACGATGTTCAAGTTAGATCCGTCTTCTTAAACTTTTGCTTGATTATTTATGTTTTGCTTATTTTCTTACAGAACTTAACATCAAATACAGCACAGGAATTTACGTACTATCAATAAATATTTTCCTTCTAAATGATATTAATTTGAAAATTATCAAGAATATACCGTCTAATAATTAAATATATTATTCTATTGCGTTAATCTAAGATCATAGCAAAGATGTAAATAATATTACTATAGCATATAGTGATGCTGCTTTTCGAAGCTACAGATCGAATTATGCAATTACAGAGATCGCTTCGTAGCACTGGCTACAGACGCAGTTTAGACGCATTCGTTCCGCTTACTTTATGTCGTTTCTGAAATTACATTTGATATTCATGTTTATTGATACCATAGTTCTTCAAAAGCTACAAAATAGAAGCTAATTCCATTAGCAAATGATGTATGGACACTCTATCCAACTTTTATAATACTATAGTTTCACGTAATAAGGTTTCTTGTAGGAATTTATCTGTAATAAAATTTTGTCTCGAAGGTATAGCAATAAAATATATAACATTATCTAATTCATTTTCAAAACACGAGCGGACTTTATAAATTTTAGTTCAATATTTCTTATTTTAATTTATATCCAATAAATAAAATTTTATGAAATGACTCGAGAATACCGGTAGGTAAATTTACAAAACTACAAAGACTGATGTAATGTAACTATAAAGTACATTTTATGTTAGTTTTTACTAGAGTTAAATAGAATTTGAAAGTAATGATTCAGTGCGCAATATTGCAATAGCATGCTAGATGAAAGTGCTTCTCACTAGTATTTAAATATTGCATATTACACCACCACACCCCAGTCTAGGCCACAAAACAATATTTGAGCTATAAAATTTTGGAATGATTCTGTATCTATATATAATTTAAATATTCTAGCAGAAGGAATAAACTCCTCCCATTTTTGACATCAAATGTTAATAATCACAACATCAATTTAGATATACAATCAGAAAGGCTATAGTAAGGCTTGTGAATTATGGTACACTAGCGACGTTATACTGCTATCATAGTCCATAACCAATTATTAGGCAGTATATACTTGAATTATATTAGGACTTTTCCGTTATTTAAAGCTTTTAAGCCTACTCTATATAGAGCAATAATGAACGCCTCATTGATGTTATTGTTTAGGTAGCAATATAGTGGCTAGGTGTCTGCTATAGAAGACATTCTAGCTTTTACTATTCTTAGGGAACTTGATGAGGAATCTATGAGAAAGATATTAAAGACTTACTGAAAGCCTATTAGTAGATATTTTAATCATTGGAAATAGCATCACTTCTATAAGATTTGAGTCAAAAACTGAGAGGTCAAAGTAATGCTTTATAGACATTGGAGTAAGAGGAGTTCAGATCACATTTGAATATAACATCGTTTGTCATCATCTTTGAAATCTACAAATGTAAATAGATCATCAACGGGACGCTATAGCTTTTTATGTTACTAAAACTATGTCACCACAATTTTCAACGCTGATATCCTATTGGATCAAGGAACATCACATGCTAGCAGGGTTACCAAAATCTTAACGTTCTATTTCATCCATTCATCAATTCAGTTTAGCTGATATAGTCAACAATATCATTTGACTTACCTGTAAATTGATCCTGCAGAATTGATCTAGTGTAGTGCATGTGGAACAGAAAGTGAAGATGCAAGGTTAGTAGCAACATTAAATTGCTAAGTATTGTTATCTTCGAATTATTTTTATTTCTTAGACTTTGAACTAGAATATCATAATAGATTCAAAGGAGATAAAAATTAGCTTTCTCAGTAATAACGACTTTTCTTCTATTGCATAAAACAACGAGTAGTTGAGTAGAAAACGTACAACGACATTTAAATGATCGTTGGATCTTGCCTTTTTAACTCACAGCCCCAAATCGATCTCGTCAGAAAGAAATTTTAACGGTTGAACGAGAAACTGAATGTACTTTGAAACTGAATGAAGGAACTGACGATGAAATGGTAAGTAAACGATGGTATGGTGTATGGAAACATGCTAATGACTGACTTTGAACAAGAGCTTATCCAAGATAATTCATGATATTAGTTAGAATAAATATTTATTGGAAGCAATCTATCGTTGTAATGTTGCCATAAAAGAGCTGAATAGATCGTAAATAGTCGCTTAGTAATATCTGAATCTAAAAGATTAATACTGTATGTGCAAGATTGAAGATTAACTGAATCTTACAATTGTATTTAGTGCGTTTCAAAGTTAAAGAATTACATTAAATATTGTAGTATTGGAAAGTAATATTATATTAATTAAGGTGACTGAATAACCGAGATTATAAAAGTAATTTTATTTTAGATTAATCAGAAATTAAAGTTTTTAACATAATAAATGTAGCAGGAATATTTAACCATTAAACAAGGATAAAAATTTGTAACTGATTGCGATAAATCCTCTGTGAGGTTGATAGATCAAGAATCTTCAAAACTTTAGAAAATTAAGATTTATTGAACAAAACCTCCTTTACGAAGATACAACGTAATCGATTAGCTGAGGACCTCTAACGAGAAAGAACTATCTTACTATACTAAACTATTCGCTTATATACCTTTCCGCGTTTACAGTCTTAGCACCTTACTTACTACACACTTCAGTATTAGCATCTCAAATACAGGATAGTTTACACCTTTCACGTGAAGCTCTAGTGTGAGCACTGTAGCGCTCCTCTTGAAAAGGATTACAGTTACTAAGCTAGCTATATTTAATACTTAAGCTTCTATCGAGAATATCTATCACATGTTGAACACAACACCTACGGTAGACATTACTAAATTATCATCAACTTAGAATACAATATTACACAGTCTTACAGCCTCCTAAAATCTGAAATGATAGAGATTCGAAAACTTAAAATGTTCGCTTTATTACATAAATTACTTCTTAGACCAAGAATTAGACTAACTCTTAAAAATGAGATCTAAATAGCTAAATATTCAGGCAATATTTCTTTCCTATAATGGACAGCATCTGCTAAATTGTTATTACTTGTTGCATAAGAAGATAGGCATCAGTTAGTGTATAAAATGGCTATGCTAGTTTCGGGTTACTTATCCAAATTCTTTTTCTGATCATTATGCTACTAGTGTTTTGGTAGAGAGAATCTTTTGTAACAAGCATTTTTCGCATAAACGCATATAAGCCTTTTTACTAAATTTATTAATGAATCATTTACGATATAATTCACTTTCAAGGTATGCTATGGATACCAGAAAGACTATAAGAAGGTATAGAATTTGGATGATAATCTTACATTGTCAATAATTAATAACTATAATGGATAATAATGAATCATTATGCTGCGGTTTGCCCAAATCAGTTTGCTACAACGCTTAGGCGGCCCAGTAAACTACAACTTATCCTCTTATTTTTCATTTAGATCTACTTTTATTACATTTTGTGTCTACTAACATGTGGATTTATGATACTTGTTGGCTACTGGAAAGCAGAATGGAAACATATTTGGACGCATAAACGTTGTCCTATTTCTTTGGCAGACTCTATAATTATAAAGGTTTGGCCCTATTTACCTATCTTACTGCTTAGTTATTCCATTACATATTCCCAAATCACATAGCATGATTATATAAAAGCGTAATATTTATAGCTAGCAAGTAAGTACTTGGAAAATTCCTTTTACTCATTGCTACGTTATTTATCTACCTTCGTATTCATTTAAACTGTAATTCTTATCTGTAATTCGTATCTCTTAGAATTGATTTATATTAATCAAAATCATTATAGTAAAGTTACTGCACTACTTTTCACAATATTTGAAACATCAATTATTCCACTACAATTTAAGTTTCATCGGCGTATCGCATCTTCTTCAAATTAATGACTACCCGTACATCAAGAAAGAGACTGCATTCTATTAAATTTCAACTGGCAACATCTATTTATTTTAAATTAAACGAATTCAATTCGTTATGAAAATATAATTCGTAAGCGACAGCAGTTATTAGAAATATCATAATAAATTAATATATGTTACTTAATGTTCAGCTAATGCCTAGATAAAACTTACAGTAAGTGGCATGATGCTAAAATAACGACAGATAAATCCTATAAAATGAAAATTATTACAGGTGATGCAAATTATTATTTATTTAAAAAGATTAAAACTCTGTTGGAGATTAGGAGACAAAGTTTATCTAACAAAGCAACAATTGATTATTAATTTTATTAATAATTTTAAGTTCAATGTAGATATATTAACGCCCATTTCCATTTATGTCGCAACAGGACAGATACAATGTTAGAGAGCTGGCTGAAATGGAAAATATACTGGATTTCGAGTGTTGGTAAGACGTTGATTGATATTTAGCCATCTATTGACTACAGTAGTGCATCTCCATGATATCAATTACTAATGCTAAATTCATTTCAAAAAAAGACAATTAGTAGTAAATCACAATACCATTTCCGTTTAACAGTCGACAACTTACTTCAACTTTAAGATGCCAAATTTTGTATCATATTTTAATGGCAAGTTCCAGCATGAAAAACATAAACAACAAACAGTCTCTTAATGTCATTGATTAATAATATCCTTAAAATAGTTTTTCAGTGCTTATTTCTGAACTTTGTTTATCAACTATAACAGCGATCAAGAAACCGAATCAGAAAACGTGAGCGATAATATTAGCATTAAAGCTTTCATTATACCAATAGGAATAGATTGTGATAGTAGTAGGGCATTAAGTAATTTCAGCATATGAAATGAAGCAATTTAGAACTTAAGGTATGATATTATACGCAGAATCTTAAGAAAATATTTTTTGAATATCGCTGCATTCGATATTACTGGAATGAAAAGCAGCAAACATTTTTACCTTTAAGGTAATATCATCATTGATATTTTAGTTAGTTCAATCTGAAAGTAATATATCGAAGCATATGACTAGTAGTTGAAGTAATTCTAGATGTTAAATTGATTAGCTATAGCTTTGCGATCGCCAGCAATTATTTGCATCCGGCATACTAACCCAATTATGTAATTTTGAAATCATTTATTACTTTACTTATTTGTTTCCGATATTATGAACCAGAGGACTTGAGACAGGCTGTACTCGTCGTGAAATACGATATTATTTATCGAACGGTCTTTCTAATCAACAAGCATGCAGAAGGTACAAGAATGAATTTGAATTATTATAACTATTGACCAATAGTCAATAGTCTTGTTGTAATTCAACTTGGTATTCTAGTTATCACTATAATGCATCTCAGTCAACAAAATTTTTAATTCTAGACCGAATACTTACAAGCAAAATTTGATCGATGTAACGGTAAAAAGCTACCTTCACCTTCTTGTTGAAGAGGTTCAATTCATTTCAGATTGCTATTTTCTAACCATTACATGAAAAGGAGTACTTCGGACGTTACAATTTACGCAATAATATTAATTAAGGCATAAAGAATTACTGTGCAGTCTATTCTAGCAGATGGCACTGTTATTTAATTTGATGTTATTACTTATAAAATTCTTCATCTAGGTCCTCGACCCATTCTACGTTTTTTAAATATTTAGCATTATCTTTTGGATGGCTGATTACTATTATTATTATGCCTCCTGCATTCTAACCATGTCGCTGTTTTCCATTATTATAACATTGATACAAACACATTTGGTAAAACTTCTAACCAATAAGTTTCATGAGCATAAAATTAAACCTAGTAGGTATCCTATCAATTGGAGTTCTTTAACACTTACTTGCAAATTACAGAATCGTGAGCGATTAAGAAAAATGGTGGCTACTTCTTCAGATGTGCAAGTTATCCGAAGTGATTCTAGTTTGTGAAAAATTATATTTGGAAATATTTTAAAACGTAGATCGTTTGTTCGTCTGTATTACAAAATAATAATAATAATCTATGACTAGATGTCCCTCAAGATTTATCAAGTACTGATCTCGTCCCTGGTGACTTAATTATTATACCGACAAAAGGCATTAGGATGGAATGCGATGTGGTATTAATATCTGGTAATTGCGTTGTTAATGAAAGTTCTTTAACAGGTATCGATATAATGTAGATTGGTTTTCGAGTTTATCTGAAGTTATTTATAATAAGTTTCCTTTTCTCCGTTTAACGTTTAATATAAATGACTAAGCGATATTCCAAACTAGGGGAGAGTAATCCATTTTTGAAAACTGAACTAATCGAATTTGGAGTAGAAGCGGATGCAGCTTATAATCCTAACGTTCATAAGCAGCATACTCTATTTGCAGGAACACAAGTTCTTCAAGCGCGTAGTTTAAAGGATTCGCACGTGATGGCTATCGTTATCCGAACAGGTTAGCAAATGTTCATAAGAAATTGATTTCATAACACTTAGTCATGGTAAGTTCTGCAAATACTATTTAATAATTAAGGCATTGAAATATTTTTTTAAATTAGGCTTTTATACGCTGAAAGGAAACCTAGTTCGTGATATTTTATATCCTAAGCCAATGGATTTAAAATTATATCGAGACGCTTACGGTTTCTTAGGCTGTATGGCAGTATTAGGTAGATGTAACGAATAAAGCAATTGAGCAGCCTATTAATTACGAATTTGTTTTAACATATCTATTTTATATTATGGCCTTTCCAGCGGTTGCAGGCATGATATACAGTGTAGCTATTCTAATCCGAAATAATGTTAGTAAAAAAATAATTAATTGATGTTAATTACAATTAAAATCAGAATAACTACTTCAATTTAAATGTCTGTTCAGTCCGAACGAGCTGATTCGAGCTTGAGTTGATTCCTATTTACCTTATGGCTTCTTCTATTGATATTTGATCATTAATTATTTTCTCTAAATAAATGTAAGCGTGTTTGATTTCTAGCCGATATTGTTCTTTCTTTATTTCTCCTTTAATAAGCTTAATTCTCAAATTTAACTCTGCATATTAAATTACGGACGAATATGAAATCTACAAATTCAAAATTAACTCTTATATCTACATCTTCCGCTGGCATATGTTAGCATGTAGTTGGATTTATAGTAAATGTTTTCCCTTAAGCTTACTGAAATGTTTCATTCTATATGTTAGGTAAGCACGCTTCGAATCATTGCACGAGTTGTCGACGTTATTACCATTGCTGTTCCTCCAGCTTTACCTGTTGCTCTATCAATTGGAGCTGGATATGCTTCTTATCGATTGAAAAAATCTGGAATCTACTGCATCAATCCTTCGAGGTAGTTGCTAAATATCGAAATTTGACGCTTGAATTTTTAGTAAACGGTTAATTTGGGATTTTAAAATATCTATATATATAAATGAAAATGTGAGCGTCGATATTGATCCTAATCTTTTCAGATGCAGGATCAATTTAAGTGGAAAAATCGATTTAGTATGTTTCGATAAGGTAGAGCTGATCCAATCCTAATACGGTGGTAAATGTAATAAGATAGTAAACATGCTTTAATGCAATGTACACCTTAAATTGCATTAGACAGGTACACTTACTGAAGATTTTGCTGAATTTAGTGGTGTGCGAGCATCAGCAAATGGAAGGTCAACTACACTTAGGAACATCGATATTTAAGTTAATTGCACCATTTACATAAAGCATACGCTAATGTAGGTTATACAAATGTTGGATTACTTTAGATTCTTGGATATGTGGACAGAACTTGAAGGTCATCTGCACGATATAGTAACCACTGTGATGGCTACTTGCCATTCTTTAACGTGGCTTCGAAATGAAATATGTGGCGATCCAACTGAGATCGCCATGTTTCATGCATCGAAATGGGTACACTACTCTCTATAGAAAAATTTCATCCATTCAAATTCCGAGAATAAGATATGATTTTTTAGTAATCCACATATTGATACAACTTAGCTGTTAGACGATAGTATTAAAGAAGGCTATCTTCATGAAAACCTGACTATTCAATCCTTGATCAGAGTACCGCCTGAGTCTAGTGACAATCAGCAAGTAATTCTTTTAGATGTTTTTAATTTATCATCTATCTATCTCATTTCACTTTATTTGCCTTAATAGAAAGAATGTTATTTTCTTATAATTTTAAATCAGAATCAGCTTTATGGTATTTTGAAACGATTTGAATTTACTTCAGAGTTAAAGCGTATGTCGGTCATAATTCATAATGACAAAACCAGAGATCTAGAGTTGGTTATGAAAGGTGCTCCTGAAACAGTTATACATTATTGTAATGCCAATTCAGGTAGCCAAATTGTCGCTTAGTTATTTATAGCTCCTGAAATTTACCAAGGATGTTACTTTTTCTCAACAATATAAATTAAATACAGATTATTCATTAATTTCTCTAGTTCCGGATGATTTTCTTACCATTTTGGAATCATATACGAGTCAAGGGTGTCGTATTCTAGGTTTAGCGCATAAACCATTAAAATCTGACTTGTCATGGCAAAATATTAAGGAATTATCTCGGTCAGTAGCGTTAATTTATATTATCGTGTACAGTATAGGATTAATTTCAGCAATTATTGTAATATAATTATAGCGAATAAATCTTTTCTTTTCCAGTCATGGTTTGGAGCAAAATATGTCTTTCGTCGGACTATTAATCTTGCGAAACAAATTAAAACCTGAAACGTTTAATACCATTAAGGATTTAGCAGTTGCTAATATCAGAACTGTGATGATTACAGGTTTATTTAACGACAAAATAGCCAGGTAACGATCTTTAATAGTAGCAACTAAGTTTTAAAAGCGTTAAATTTATTTTATGACAGGCGATAATCTAGAGACCGCTATTAAAGTTGCTGAGGAATGTGAAATTATACAAACCTGTGACAATCTGGATTATTTAGCAGTTGAAGATGTAGACGACGATCTAGGGAAACCAAATCTGATCTATAAAAGACTAAAGTCTTTCAGAGAGGACCAGGTATAAGCTACTAAAAGAGAGTATAGTGAAATAATCTTTTTACATCAATAAAATAACTCATAAATTCTCCCCATACAAGGTTAATTTTGATTCGGAGTTTGGCCATGAGCGAAACTGTAAAATCGCTTGTACTGGAAACACTCTTGATTTAATAAGCAAAATACAGCCGGAGCATCTCAATAAGGCATCTTGACCATAGTCAATTACTAGATCTACAATAATTTTAAAAGTATCCAAGAATAATTGACATAACTATCTCCAATGTTCCACATATAGCTATTAGAAAAAGGAGCCATCTTTGCTCGCTGTTGTCCAAAACAGAAAGCTCAGCTAGTAGAATTTTTTAAGGATTTAGGGTTAGATAATAATATAAGTAATAATATATGATCACTATCTCTCCAGGAATCTGAGTGTCCGTTTTATAAAATTCATTTATACCTTAGTTACTTTGTTGGGATGTGCGGTGATGGAGCCAACGATTGCGGGGTAGATATTCAGTTTCATCAATAATTTGAAATTTCCATTTAAGTAGCTGTTCGTTACAAATAATAGGCTTTAAAAGCGGCACATGCTGGTATATCTCTATCAGAAGCAGAAGCGTCTATAGCATCGCCCTTCACATCCAAAGTAAGAACTATCGTATTTTGTAGTTACCATACTTGGCTTGTATTCAAATAATTTATAGATTCCAGTGGATTTAAAGTTAAGGCAAAGCATATAAACTACTTATACCTCGAGCGGCATTTATTATACCTTATTATAAAATGTCGACGATTGCTTGTAAAATTTATGTATGAAATCTCTCTGTAGAACTGCTTCTATATGATTTGATTGCAATAACTCATCATTTTGACAAATATTTATAAGTCTTGACTAATTGGCTACACAATCTATAATTTTTAAAACCTTTCCATTCTATTATTAAATTTAATTTATATTTTAAATTTTAGATCGCAAACATTTCTTGTGTTATAACCTTGATTAGGTCAGTTGAATAATCTAATTAAATCTAATTATTAAAGTACGATCTTGTAGCTGTTATTTCTTACAATTTTCTTGCTTAGGTTAATGTTAAAATGCTTCATGAATGTCAAATTCACGATAGTAAAATCACTACTTTATCATTAGAGAAGGTCGAGCAGCTCTGACAACATCCTTTAGCGTTTTTATGTATCTTGCTCTTTCCAGTATGATTCAATTTTTAACAATCATGATTTTATATTGGGTAGGTCATTATGTGCCAAACATTTCTTCTTACAGAATTTATCGATTTACAATCCTATTTAATCTATTTTACATTTATTTCCTACAGTTTGCTGCAGTCCTAGGAGATTTACAATTTCTGTACATAGATTTATTTCTGGTATTTTTTTTTGTACTTGCAAGTAAGTAAAGTACTTTGTTCTATAAAATCATATATTAATGCAGTAGTGAAAATAAGACACAAGATGCCAATTCTATTTTTAAATTAATATAATAAAAAATGATAGAAAACTATTCCTAAACGTATTTATCCATATTGCTCTTGGCATTTATTTAGTGAGTAGGGCATTGCCATATCCGAAACTATCTCCACTTAGGCCAAACATTTCCCTTCTAAGTTTAGAAACTCTGGTGACTGTCTCAGTACTGATTACTATTATTATTGCTGGTCAAGCCTTTAATTATGTCTTTTTAGCTGTACAACCTTGGTAAGTAGTTAGAAATAGTTCTTTTTCATTGAAAATTAACTTTTCGAACGATGGAAACGAAATTTGAAAAATGTTTGAACTTCTTTACGTTATCCATACCACTACAGGTACAGCGTTAGTTACGAAACAAAAAATGGTTTACTTAAGATGGAATCTTATGAATCAACAACCCTATTTTATTATTCATGCTACCAGTATATTTGGTTAGCTGTCGTTTTGCTCCCTGGTCCACCCTTCCAGGAGCGTGTATATAAAAACTGTAAACTCATACTTACAGCTTCAAAATAACAGCGTGATTCCTGTAATAATACGTTTAGTACTAAGCTTGAATTTTAATGATTACTTACGTAGGGTTATTGATGCTTACGTTGACATCGTCATTACTTATAACTACAATATTAGTTATTTATCCTGGTCAAGCACTACAGTCTTTCAAGGTTTGACAGTTGTAGTCACTAAGTAATAACTAAGCTATTTAACTGCAAATCTGCAGTAGTTCTCAGATTTAAAAATTTCTTATATAAAAACGCCATTAAAGGGTATTTCTATTTTTAGTTAAAAGTCATAAATGACTATCGTTTTAAAACCTATTTAATAATAATGGGCCTAGTATATCTTGGACTTTCCTTAATGTTTAAGGTAAGCTGATATATATAGATCATGTAGCATATAAAGATAACCGGATGAAATATCAAGTTCATAGTTAAAAACTTTTTAAAAACTTTTAGGCATTCATCAAAACAATGATCAAGATAATTGACGATTCAGCATCAATAGGTTCATCTATGAGACCTAAAGTTAAAATCTTATAAGAAAATGATCTTACTCCGTGAAATCTCATAAGAAACTTTTCTCAAAATTTGAAAGTTCTGTGTTTGCTGGTGTTTATTGTATCCTCAAAAATTTCATGTTTTCATACAATAGAAAATGATGCTACAGGTAGAGAAAAAATTACGTACTACCGAGCAAGTTTACTAATAGTGTCTCCAGAAGTTTTACAGCACTTTCTGCAGTCGATAAAAAATTTATTTTTATATTGCTTTCCTACTAATATGTTAAACTTATAAAAAATATTAATTTACGTACAGAACCATACTAACACACGCTTATTTAATTAAAATGTTTGTAAAATTAAGATTCTTTGATGGTTATAATTTTAATATGACTAATCCTATAAAGTGTCACTACTAATTTCTATTCTAGAGTTTTAATTGAAAGTATCATCAATTTCTGTATACTAGTGCGCCTGAATTTCTTCTAATTCTAGTAAAAATTTGAGCACATTCATCTTTCTGATGATGAAGATACTTATGACGGGTATGATGCAATCAAATAAATTTGCGTCAAATTCAAATACAATGTTTTATTTCGGCACGGAAGTCAATTTTTGAATTATACTAGAAATGACTTGCAAAATAACATATGGCCAAGAAATAAAGCAGCGAAACTTATTATATATATATATATATATAAATATAAAGCAGCTCTGACAGTGTAAACGCCTTGATATTTAAATTTAATACATTCCATACTTGCTTGTAGCCGAAAGTATTTTAAATCTTTGATACCATACCATTTCATATACAGCATTCTATCAACATCTAAGCATGAGGAGACAGTCTTAAAGCAGAATATTTCAAATCAAAAAATATTCGGATATTAACTATTGCCTATATTGCATAAATGTCCTCCATGTAGTCGGAATTCATGCAGTTTTTACCGCTATATCGTTGTAAACTCATAATACAGATACACTGATAGCTAGAAAAATGTACCCATAACTCCATCATGTATGACGTAATTTAAATTGCAGTTAATTATAGAATTATCATTTTAGGACAATACATTTAGTATCTTCGCTAGCGATATTATTGTATGACCTCATACATGATGCACTTCTATAATATTTTCTCCGGGAAAGAGATTATGAGTATAAACATTTCAGAAAGAGACACAAGCTTAAATTAGCGCTAGCCATATTAAATTAGCGGCTGTACACTACTTCAAGGCACAAATCGCAGCTTAGCATCCTTCAGGGAGAAATTGTTAATAGAAATGACAGTACACAGCAGAAATTATACGATTTTTAATCATATCAGGAAACTATGGTAGGCATCATGTAATAGAAAGCTCAACTAATTTTTTTAATGATGCTATAGCCGTAATCACGGTCACGGCAAATGAAATAATTCAGATTTCTACTGCCTTTAACTTTACGAGAATTATGAATGACTGGAGACTCGAAAATTTGTAACAATTCAAAATTAAAATTATTATATATGTATACTTTACTCTCTTGAATAAATACAAACAACTTATTAAACCATAAGCGATCGACCTTGTCAAGTGGAAAATTACAGTTAATGTACTGAGTTTCGTTGGCTTTCAATACTAGCCATGGATATTCATCGTATATCTAGAAATAGAGTCACAAAATTACCACAATAATGATATTTGAAATTATCATCAGAACGAACTATATCCAACTGTTGACTTACAACAACTTCTTCTCCTTTTCGGACAAGAAAATAAACACCACCTGGGCGCAAAGAAGCACTCTAAATGTAGGATTAGTAATTCATATCAAATGGTTTCAAAGGCAACAGAATTTTGTATTGTTACAGTTATTACATCAATAATTAGTTTGCTGTTTCATCCTTGACATCATTTAAAGGGGTTGTACTTACATCAAGTTGTTTAAAGTCTTGATCACCTAGCTCTTCTTTCATAATTGATTCATTCTCAATATCATAAATATCAGTTACGTAAATGTCTAATTCATCTGGAGATACTAAAATTCTACATGCATAGATACTATCTCGCCAATATTTCATGAATAAAGTTTGATAGACCTCATAAACTGTTTCGTGAGCTAGTCGAAAAACCTAATTTTGATGGATAATTATTTTCGTTACGTTAAGTTCTAGAAAAGATAGTTATATATCGCATTCATTTATAGCTAACAGTTATCTTTCATTTTCTTAATTTATTTGTATCTAATGTTGTGAATGATTAATCATTTATTTAAAATTAAGATAGAGTTAATGATATTATATAGTATACCTTTAAAAACTGTTGATCCTTCCACGTGCGATAATAAAATATAGCATGTTGGTCATCAATATAAGTCAGTCTTCGCTGCGAATATTCCTCATTATAGCGACAAAAGCATGCAACAACTCGTCCACTACTTCGTTTGATCATTGTAATCATCAAATCATGGGTATCCTAAAAAAATATTGATTATAAGCTGATTTCATATGTATAGCTTTATGAAATGACAAACCAGAATGCAAGACTAAGTATGATTATTGTCATTAATTAGCATAGCTAAAGTTTACTAACAAAATCACGATCGTCCCAAACCAATATGAAGATATCATCCAATGATCGGTATCGTAAGTGTGTTAGATATATCTTTTTGCTGACGAGTATAGTTTGTGTGGAAGTCCATTTATGTACCTCGATTTCAGCGACATCTTTGAACTAAAGAAAATGAGACAAATTAATAATGACATTAAAATATTCAGCTTTATCATATTTGAATATTATATCTACCATTTACTTCCATGAATATTTAAGGTATATAATAATTTAAGCTTTCAATAGAAAATATTTCTAATCGCAATCTGTTAATAAAACCTTTGAACCAACTATTATACTATTATAAATTAATTGATCATAGATGTTTGAAAATTATTTTGATTTCATAATGTTATGATAAAAATCGAAGGTATTAGAAATCAGTAAGTGCTTACACTAGTTATTATATGCCAATGATTTACATCAAGGTTTTCTAGGCAACAATTATTATTGCATAAATATCTCTCGATAACAATAAATCCTTTTAAGTCCCCAATCAAGCGGACATCAAATTTTGAAGAATCATGAGGCCCATAAATATCTAACATGCTACTCTTTTCTGATTCTAATGTCTCTCCACGACGTACCTATTGGCATAACAACAGTATCATTGAAATTATAATCATGAACTGAATGTTTTAGCAATTTAATTACAAAATCTTTGGCTGAAGAACTAATAACATTAGCTAAGGAACAATTAATTAGCAACGAAGAAACCTCAGTTTACAAAGAAGTCTAATAAAATACGACATATCGAAATGGTCAGTTTCCATCAAAATGATTCCTAGTAGTATGATATTTAATAATAGCTATGGTTTCACGATTGTGTGTATGATTTTAGTAATTACTATTTTCAATACAATGTTGTACTATAAGAATATCTAAGGTTAAACGAAAGGCAGCTTTATAACAAAATAGAAATTGTCTGGAATTTACTAGCCTAGAATTATATTACGAAATATCTATTGCAGAGTCATAATTATATTGAAAAGCTCTGATCTTGCCTGAGAATTTATGATTTATTATTAAATATCTCAATTGCTGTTTACTTTGGTAATAAATTACCTTGACTTTTATATGATTATCTTCTGTTTTAATAATATTAACTACAATAGGACAGTTATCAATAAAATCGAAATCCGACGCTATTATTTCACCATCTTGTTTACTCCTTTTAGAATTGACGGTTTTAATTCCTCGATTCGGCGAATGCATATTATTTGCTTGCGACATTCTAGAGGTTACATTCCAAACCTTTTCAGGAATAATTAATGATGTTGCAGAAATTTGTTGACTTGGCTCAATGTCAGAATAGCTAGTAAAAAATGGCGTATTATTATGTTATAAATATATATAAAAACTACTGATTTATGGACATAATATACACTACTAAAGTTCTACTGATTAAAAACAAAATTTCTTTATGCACAGCATGATAAAAACCTACTCTGCTAGAAAAATGATAAAAAAGTCTTCTGACAAGCGTGTATTATAAATAGCAGTCTTGAAAATTGGTCAAAACCATATATGTCTAAGAGTAAAACTTACATTAAGTGGTAATAGATACTTGCAGAATTTGCTTGAAGAGTTCTAGCAATCTGATAAGCCTGTTCGTAGACAGGACTATCATTACTAAGCCAGTTTAGAAGAAATTGTATAAAGTCCACTGAATCTTGATTAAGAAAAATCCCATACTGTTGTAATAGCTGATAGAACTGATTTAATTTATCCTGAGACTCCTGTATGATAAAATTAGTTGTACACTTTAATAACCACAAATTCATTAATTTTCACTTATATCCCTATCTTGGTTAGATGCATAAGGTATTCTTACAATGCAAAAAAAAACTTTTAAAACGTAAACAAAATAACTATTCAAGTATTTACGAGACTACATCGCATCTAACATTTAAAGTATAAGAAATTGTTAATCTAGGATATTTCAAGGTAAAATGTTTTAATATAATTGGTATTTCTATTTAATTGGATAAAGAATTTAAATAAAGATTTATGCAATATAATAGCCCAATTTTATATGACATCTAGCTCAAAATTAGTAATCCTTCTTTAATTGCTTTAATTTCTTACTGGATTAGTAATGTAATTTTTTATGATCTACTACTGGTCTTACCAACTAAGAATCATATTTAACAATGATCATTTTACCTTAACTGATACATGTTGATAAATAACTCGTAGATTGAATAGTAAGCCCCAAACAGTTTTGCAAATTTTAACAGTTGCATTAATCCATTTTATATCTGTCAATAGTATTTCTACTATTTTATATGCTGATGCTTGCAGAGCATGGTCGATAATATATCGGTAGAAATAACCGTCATCCTCATGACGATACCATTCATAACCATATTTCAATTCTGTATTGGTGATTAAAACCGTATTCAATGCTTTAACCATAGAATTTGAAGAAGAAATATGCAAACTTTCTTCATCTATAGATTTTTGGAGATAATCCATGACAATATTATGTAGTAAGCAATAGCCCCTATTAAGAAATATATATTAATACTTTATTAATTTCAAATTAGTACGGATTTTATAATGTCAGCTCTGATATCATGAAGCGATTATAAACTCGGTAAGTAGCTAATTCTTAAGAAATTTTGATGCACATACCTTAATATATTTCGATGGTCTAATTGTTGATAATATGTCAGCAACGATCTCTCTTGTAGCTGTTGAAGAAGTTTTATAGTTTCATGTTCAGAATAATTCCACAAAATGGTAATCATACTGATGGGAATCCTTATACTACGAAAAACGCCCAGCAGCCTAAACAGTTCCCTTCTCTCTTCTGATAAATTATTTAAAGCACATGATATTAAGACATCTAATTTATCATTTAATGATTTGTGACGCCCAATACTGATCTCTTCTTCATCAATTATTGCTTTGATATCATTCCATTTATATCGATCATGAAATTCAATTCGTCTAATAATAGATACAGCGAGAGGTAACCCTAAATAAATTTGATAAATCTCCATATATTGATCGGCATGATGGGAATTTGCATGATGCTTCTTGCTAATCATAGGTTGCTTGCCCTTCGAGCTTAAGATTTGTACAGTTTCTGCATAGGTAAAATTCTATTTATGGATTGCATTAAATTCATCATTATTAGTAGTGGTTGCAAAACGATAATGTTATTTTAATGATAATAATTAATACCGGAATTTTGACTAGAGTGTAGTTTAATTTTAATTCTGGATCAACGTTACGCGTTATCACAATCGATTTCGAAGCAAACTGAAAATATCTAAAGTAGGAAGCATCCCAAACATCATCGAAAATGAAAACTGATTCGGAAGTTTTCCTGTTTCCTAAATAAATTTAAATAATAATGTATATGTATATTACTAGATTGGTGAACTTAATTTTGCTCATGATTTAAAAACTTAGATAATGAAATATACTGCCATTAAATAATTTACATCCTTTACATTACTTTTTAAAAACTGATTAAGGCATTTAACAACTTGATGCAGCTTTTGTGGCAGTTCGTCCGCAGACATTCGTAAACGAAGGCATAAAGATCTTAAAGTCTCAAATAATGTTTCTTGGTCAATATTACCTATAATAAACAAATAAATTTAAATTTAATCGTATCTTACAAAATTTAATAAACTGATTTATGACATATCGAAATTTTAACTCTCTAGTCTAAGCGAACCTACCTATGTGAATCCAATATGCTCCATAAGGCAAATCGTTGATATTGCTTACTAAATGTCGTATAGCTTTGCTAACTATCGTCGTTTTTCCACTTCCAGCCATGCCATATACGAAGACATGGCCTGATTTCCGATCTATATTTTTTAGAGCTGATAATAAAAGATCCATGCACTCATGACGAGATATATGACAACTGCTAGTCATGATTGGAACATCTCGGAGTAAATCTATAACGAATTATTAATCAATCAACCATTATTATTACTGACTGATTCAAGGCAACATTATATGGATTATTTAAACCGGAGAGATTTTCAATAACATTATCTTATGAATAAAAATTTTGTGAAGGTACATTGATGAATAAATGTACCATTATACTCTTCATTTAAATAAATTAAATTCGTCAATCTGCATAAGTTTCAATTAAGGATTAAGCTGTGATCATCACAATATAGAAAGGAGCGTAAAATTTGATTTACTGTCGATATGACATAAATAAGATGACCAGTAATCGTAGAGAACTGTTAACTGACGCCGTTTTTGACACAATTATCCGATTGTATGATTGCTTTAAGACCACAGTCAAAGGAACTATTGAATCACTATCTTTATAAAAATTATCTCAAATATTCATTTTGTTGGAAATAAATGTATTAGTCAAGCACTTAGTTAAAAGCAAGTTAATATCTATCGTACCGCGAATAGATTTAATTAACATTGTTAAGGTATAAATCATTCAATTTTAGCTTCATTAAAAAATAAAGAAGTCGTAGTTTTATATTTCATATGTTTACGTCGCTTATAATTATATCAAAAGGCTTCAGAGCTGGTAGCATAAATAATTTTAGGATAATAATAAATACTTTATCTCAACGATTGCGATAGGGCGTAAAGCTGATTCTTGAAAATCATAAATTCTTGTCGTGGTGATAAACACGAATTGAATTTTGAGTAATATTTCTACTAAAAATCCGTATATGATTTGAATGCGAGCCAAGTCTGAAACAGATTCATGATTTAATAAGCCCAAATATAACTCCAACTCCATAAATGGATCAATGATTACGCTTGAAATTGCTTACTTCGCAGAAATACCGTTAAGAATAAAAAAGCACTATATAGTTGTTATAGCATTTCCAGATTTTGTAACTGACGAAGTGGATATATAATCTATTGGTTATTTTTGCATTAAAAGCATTAATACCCTGATAACCTTATCAAGTAAAAGTCTATTTGCACTGATGATAGCAGTGATTTTAAAGACATATTTTCGCTGGAAAAGATTTCTTTCTGATGACTGATCCAATACAAAAGTTTACTACACAGTACCATCCTGCTGCTGCGATGATCAAAAATAGTGTAATTAAATTTTGATTTCGAAAAAATTCTGTTTATCTTATTGTTACGAGTTTGATGTTCTTGGTCATTTTGGATGTAGAAATGATCGATTCTTAGTATATTTTAACAAGCATAAACTGATTAGCAATTAGCTCTTTTAACAAAATCATCAATTCTATTTATTCATTAATAAGAATAGGAAAACTGCAGGGCGGAAAGCTGCCACTAATGCTTTAAAGTGGCTGTTCTACGATAGGAATGGAGTAACAAGAAAACAATTTATTTAATCAGAACTTCATTTACTGTTACGAGAGCGCTAAAAACTTTACCTTCTGTTGAAGATGTGGCACTTGATAGTGGACAAACCGATGACATCGAACAGGTTTTGTCTGAAAGAAATTAAATAATCTATCCTTTATAAAATGGTTGAGGTAACATGAAAGTAATAGTCTTAATTCGTCATACTAGTCTAAATTGTAACTTCAATTATTAACTTGAAACTTAATTGTAAAAACTTCTCTAGAAAATTACTTCTAAACATCAAATTAAAGCCTTCTGGTGGTTATATGTGCTTCAGAAATTGACTTACAATGGGAAGAATTCATTTTATTATTTACAGTGTATGAAGCTCCGATCGGATGTTTCTCTGCAGCCAGGACAATTCTAACTTCAGGTTAACTTAAATAGCAATTCTTACAAGCGCGCTCTGCTACCCGTGTACATGATTGAATTTAGGACTTGGCTCACGATAATAGCATAAATCAATTTGTGGGCCCTTCTATATAGTATTCCCACTGTGATATGTCTGGCCAGCTGACTACTTTATTAGTTCATAATTACATAATCTGGTATTCCATAATTAGACTAGAGATCACATGTTCTCGATCATTCTCTCTATCTAATGATGTTATTCATTAATGGTTATTATGCTTAACATAGCGTTGAAGTAATAGATTGTTTTCATGATCTTGTTAGGCTTAAAGTCCAACAGTGCTCTAAGAATGAGAAGAATGCTCTTTAGAGACAATGTTTCATGGATTTAAGCCTGGCACTGTAGCCACATTGCTTTAATGATAGCATGAAATAGTACGGCAGATACCAATGCTAACCTTACTTCAAATTCGTCAACAGTTATCGTAGGTATTCATCCATGAAGAGGACAAATGAATGAAGTTGGAAGTAGTAGTCTCTATAACAGCATTGTTGTTTTTGTTGCACCTTAGATATTTCAGAAAGACTAATGTTATTATTGCAACCACTATCGATGTCGTATGCCACCGTTAAATTTTTGAACCAGTTGCGAATATAGCAATGAAATGTACTGTATCTAGCTATTGCACATTCCTTAGAGCTACAATAATGTATTATTAAATTTATTATTTCCACAGTGTAATGAACAGTTATAAGTTGATACCTTAACAATAATTTCGCATTGCTATGCTTGAAGATTTGCTATAAAATGAGGTTATTCTATAGCCTACAGGTATGCTGCTTGCTAAAAATATTGGGACTCCATATTCTATTTGAAAATTAATATTTATCACCGTTATTAACTATGATTAAATTGCGTAAGCAGACAGATAGTATTATATAACTTTTCGATATTGAATGTCTGTTTCATATATCGATTATTAATATCATCATAATTATTATCGATCTTGTCTTCTTACTAACAATATTTACACGATAATGGCAAATATCCACGTTGCGAATTTCGCAAAAGTGATCGCATTTTTTAACATAGGCTCATTTTCTTATTAAGTTACTTTAAACTACTCCAAAGATCTTTGGATTTGCTCTTCATCGAATATAAACTATTATAACAGTGCCGCCCGTGGAATTTCATCATCTTGTTAGCATTATTGTGCTGCGTAAGGAAATAATTTTCACTATCCGTATATCATAGAAATCAACACTAAAAAATAAAACTCGATCTGAAAACGATATGGAGATGAATCGATTAATGAGCTTTTATTACAACATCAACTGAAATTACTATTAGGCCTCTACATGAGAGAAATTTGAACGAGCGATTCAGTTAATAAAGTTACCCTACAACGCGTAAACTGTATTAATGGAGTACTATCGGAACAGAAAGTTAAATATCAAACCCATATTATTCAACAAACAAGCTCTATGCACTCTTGTGAAACGGAGATGAATTTATACGACTCTGATTCATTTTAATGTTAAAAATGTTTTCTAATGCTGTAGACTACTAGCAGGTTATCCTAAGTAAGCAGTCCATTGCTAGGCTTACGAAATAGCTGGTTGCACACTAATTACCTCTTTTGGGAATGTTTCAGCTACAGCTTCAGTAATTATTTGTGTTAGTCAATTACCTACCCCTTGATTCTTCGTCTATAGCGAATTTTACTTAGTACTAGTAATTAATTCAAACACTGCCACTACCGCACCTTCGTTTTAGCCGTGATAGTGATATTTACTTGCCGGATGGAATACAAGATGACTCATAGTGCTAGCATAACTTTGATAATTAGTAAAACTACCAACTACGCACTGATTGAAGAATTTTTTTGTTTCAGCTATTTCTTCATAATCCTATCTTCTTGACTACATGTTGATAAGTAAATCTTTCTGATTTCTTTTAGTTTCTTCAAGCTTTCAAGTCATTTTAGACAATGCTAGAAAGAAGTTTATTGTAAGGAGCTATGCGATGTATTGTTGATGAGGCTAAGATCAAATTATCATAACAACGGCTATCCAGCCTATTTTTTTATTAGATATTGATCTACGTATATGATTGATCATGACATTGTCATAAAATGAAGAATTAATTGCATCCAACAACAATTGCATGCTATAATGGAATTAACGAACCTATTGAGCGTGCATAGTAACAACCAGTATAATGCATTGAGAAATATTAAACTATGACTGCATTGACATAGAACTTTTAATATCAAGTCGAATTAGTCACATTCTACGCAGTCAGTAAATGCAATAGCAATATTAGATAGACATCTCTTTAATCACTAATAATTTATTTGGAAAACAGTACTGCAAGGATAACGATGGATCTTGTCGATAATCCGGTAGAGTATAAATTAATGACTATGTTAAAAGCGTATCAAGTTAATCGTTTCGATAGATTGACCTACAATGAAGGCAAAATTTGGTCATTAAAATGTATTGAACAATTACAACAACAAATCCAAGCCAATGATATAGATAACAAGCACCAAGTAAATCATCAAATCTATTATTTATTATCATATCATTACTATAATCTGGGTCGAATATATCAGCTAGGATTAGGTACTACCAACATTGATCAATCACAAGCAAGTAAGTATTATAAACTAGCTGCAGGGGAAAATCACCCATCGGCAATCTACCAACTAGGAAAATTGTGTGGTTGTACTGGTTGTGACTACGAATATACTAAACAACTCAAAAATCAACGTCAAGTCGCTATTTACCGAGTTCGACAATTTGTTGCTAGTGCCGCAATTGATCCTTGGTGTTGCCAAGCAGATGATGAACTTACCAAGTGTTGTAAGGCTGATAAAATGTACTACAATGCTTTATATAATCAAAAAATGACTTATAAGCGATTATTGTCTACTTACCAAGATGATGAAGACGATAAAAATTTAAGGGATCAGATGGTTCAAATTCCCCGTCATAGTTCTAAACCTCATCAGCATGATAGGGTGCTTGTAAAATTGAGTAGCTTGTATTGCCAACTGGGCTATATGATGATTAAATTGAATCAACTACATGGAGAAAATATCGATCTTACTGCCTATCAGTACTTTAGCAAAGCTGCTAAACTCGGAAATGCTTCCGGTTTCATCAATATTGCTATCTGGAAATATTCACACGGCTACGGCAGTCCAAAAGATTCTGAACACTGTATTCAATTATTCATTAAAGCTAGCCAATATAACAGCCCACAAGCTCATTTCTACCTTCTCCAACATTGCTACGAAAAATATATTTCTACTGCGAATATTCGCCAAGCTAATCTCGCTGTAACCCATTCTAGTTTGGCGCTCGCTTATCCATTTGCTTCTCCTCTCTTCTATATAGCATCATTATTTTGGCTCGGTGGTACTGATAGCATTGATCGCCAACAGTGTCTCTCTCATCTTAAAATGAGCGTAGCAACCGATGATTATTTTGATCAACGTGGAAGAGGCTTGTCGTATCTGACATTGGGTTGCATTTATAAACGAGGAGAATGGATTAAAGTCGATTACAGTATTGCAGCTCATTGCTATAGTCGCGCTGCTATCCTTGGCCATCACCAGGGTATTATTGAAGTAGCGAAATTAGTTGAAAAAGGTAAAATTGCCATAGCAGATGTTCATACCGCCATCCAGTTGTATCGTGCCATTATCGATTCTACCAATATCTCGAACCAAGTTCAAGCATTAGCGATGAAAAGATTAGGACAACTCTATCTTAAAATGAAGACAACGACGAGTCAATATCGAGGGCGACAATGGATCAATCAAGCATTAAATAAATTTCAACTAGTAACTTATGACCCCTTAGCGAAGTGTTGTGCCTACTATCAAATCGCTAGAATTCACCATAAAGGATTAAGTACAGACAAGGAAAATTTAGAGAAAGCCTCCATCTATTATCGTAAAGTGTTAACATCGAGTAGTCATTGCAGAGATGTAATTTACCCTCGCAAAGCTGAAATTAGATTGAAAGACTTAGATTTGTCATGATACGATGTGATTGCTGAAATTATTAATGGAATTGTATGTTGGCATACTAGACAGTATTTTACTGGTAGAATTCATCAGAAGCAGCAGTAATAAATCCATTCATCATTCAATTCTATAACATTTTAGTAATACGGTAGTGTAATTAAACTGTAACTGCAAGGCCGATGGACACGAAAGTTATAGAGTCAAATTCGATTACGATTGGGTTATGGCCGTCGATCTTTACTCCATGTAAACAGAGAGAAACCCACTAATAGCAGTAAATGTTACTTTAATGCTAGTCACTAAAGATTCCTAAGAATACGATGAAAACGTTGAATTTAGCAATATTTACTGTAAATCAGCCAAATTAGTGAATCCACTGTACGTTGCAACTGCAATGTTGGTCGAAATTACTACAAAGTGATGTAATCACTTGTGTATAATTCTTGTAAGGTCTTACTATACATATTATAGGCTATATTCACGGCATGTCATCGAATGAATTAATTGTAATTAAGCATAAAATTTTAAATTTTAAAGCCATTGTTTTCCACAGTGTGTTACCTGTGGAACTTTAAAATTAAATTATGATGTTGTGAACAGACCTACATTGTAAATTGTTGAAAGTTAATTTCAGCCGAATCAAAACAGTCTATGTGTGAGGTAGACGAAAGGCAATATTGCTACGTAATTAAAGTGAAGAATCTTCGTTGATTATCGAAATAAATGTTATTTCATGTCAAATCTGTGGCACCACCATAACTTAGGCTAAAGCTCGCTATACTGTACAGTACGTTTACTGAATAGTAAAGAATGCTGTAATTTGAAAGCAAAATCATCAAACGGTATTTCTTTATTTATCCATCATTAGAAATAATGTACCAGCGATAATTTTGCTGGATGCTCAAAATCAGCAATTACATTTATTGATCAATTACATATCCAAGCTTCACCTTGGATAGCGATCCTAACAAGATCATACAGCCTAGCTGCCGACAGGTTGAACTCAATTTCATTATTATTTTCAACCTCAAGGCCCTATACATCCAATATCCTGATATGAAATTTCATTAACTCTTTTATTTCAAGACCAAAATTAAAAATTTTTCCAGGCAAGACTTATTTAATAAACATTAACATATTAAGGATAATATAAACCGATGTGATATCATCAAGTCTAAACGTACGAATAAGTCATGGATATGTAGTAAGACAGTAAAGTATAAAAAAAGGATAACATATACAATATCAATCTTTATTCAGGACAGAGGTGAAAATTCTACCTGTAATATTTCGATACCATGTTATAATCTCATCATACAAAATCATGCTAGGTGAATAAATAAAATTATATGAGTATGAACAGTCAGATCAAAGACGTTACATAGCCAAAATAGAAGAAAATAAATTCTATAAGCATTTGTGCCTCAATATAATTTTATAAAAATAACATTCCATTACTGTTACTTGAAAATTTTTATGATTATCATATACTGTACATTCAATATTCTACAAATAGGCTATGCGAAAATAGGCCTAGCGGGTAGCATCTTGACCTCCCAACTTTGCAAGCCACTGCAATTTTTGTAACCCAAGGTAAACACTTAATACTAAAGCTAGAATTGCAAAACCTAGTATTTATGCTTGCATAAAACTATCCATACTGTTTTGTGTTTCACTAATCCTTGACGACATGGCCGATATAGTTACTACTATACATTGGGTAATTGCTCCAGTTTTCGCTTAGCTTTTTGAGCATAATGAACATCATAAAGTCGATATTGTTCACTATTCCTTTTGATGGCGGTTTTATAGTAACTGTTCGCTTGTTTAATGCTAGCCTTTACTCCAAATCCATGATGATACATGACACCCAAATGATAAAATGCCTTGCCCAAGCAGGTCTTCGACTTGATGACTTCTTTGTAGATTTTTGCAGCACTGTGAAAATATTTTGCAGCTCGTACGGAATCATGTTGCTCAGGATCATTGCTGTTGTTGAATATTTTCCCTAATCTGTAACGGCAGTGAGCAACATGGATCGGGTCGGCCTCTTGGTTAAATGTATAATACAGGTAAACAGCAATGGCATCTTTTAAGGTTGCATTTGGTGCTTTCTTTTTTTCAATCATTTTAGCTAGATGTAAGTTACTGCTGAGAAAGCCTAGTGACGCTCCGGTAGCATAACATGTGCTAGCCATTGGAATATTCTGTTCGACACCTTGGCCATGAAGGTATAGATATCCCAGAAGTTCATACGCTGCTGCAGAACCGCTAAAACCCTGATCATTATATTCTTGTGCAAACAATGCTAGCTTCAGATATTGGCTAGCTTTCTGCATATCAGGCGGCTTGCCGCCATTACCAGATGAGCAATTCAATGCTGCAATGAGAAGGTTTTTGGTAAAGCTAAAGCTTAACGATTTATCGATATTTTCCACAAATTTTAGCCCTATGTCTTTGTTTGCTACCGATGTTGTATCGTTTTGCAGTGCTATTAAAAATAATCCGCGCGAGTGATTAGCATCAGCAGCCTTCTGTCGGTATTCTAGGACTTTGTTTGTATCTTTATCAGCACCAAATCCATTAGCATAAATTATATTTGCTAAATTTAAGTAGCCAGCTGGATTACCATATTGTTCTGCAGCCTTGATGAAGTAATTCATTGCAAGTTGATACTTTTCCTGGTTATCGTCTTGGTCTATCAAGTTTACCATGGCTATCAAGTAGCCTAGTTCATTGTATATTCTACCTAAAATATTGGCGGGGGTATTGCCAGGTTTATCGATAATAGCACGATGAGATCGAATTAAATTTTTGACTGCACATTTCCAATGTGGCGCATCATCTTCGTATGATTCCCATAAGTCATTATGAGCAAAAGTATAATGCGATGACTGAGCAGCCGATTTAACAAAGTTTTCCACGACAGTATTGGCATATTCTTCTTTACCTAATAAGCGGGCATATGAGTTTCTTTCGTCAGGATTGCACGTATATAAACCGCATATCATGTACTGAGCGACAGGATGATTGGCTTGTGCGGCAATAGTGTAATGTTGGTAAGCTTTTTGTGGACTTTTGCTTATACCCGATAGGCCTAAGTGATAGAATGCGGCCAAGCACGAATGAGCATCAGCATCATTAGTACATTGGCATTTATTTTCCCAGAGTTTTTTAACTTCTTCGGCTAGTTCTCGATTTAATTCATCTAACTGAGCGGAATTGTATATATGATGTAGTTGTTGAGTATTGACTCGGGGTAATGAAAGAAATTCTGACATGACCGGATCACGGTTGGGAGATATGCCTGTGGATGGTAATTGCTCATTTTGGTGTTGGTTACTATTTGAATTGCCCATGATGATATTCCAACTTGTCCGGTGCGGTCGATACTAATTTCCTTTACACCTTCAACGGCTCGGCTCTTTCACACAGAGTGGATAATCGTCTGATAGGACTATTTATGGCGAATGGTATTGGTTACTACGTTATTTGTATATCCAATGGATAAACTATTAGTCCATTCTTTAACGTCTCTCCAAAGCAGAATTTACTTGACGGTGGCAGAAAAAATTCCTTCGTTGTACTGTACCAAATGGAAAGAAAAATAGGCATAGCAAGTCAAGTCAGATTCAATTGGATACTTTTGAACTAGTTGGAAAGATTGACAGCCTTGACTAGTGTTAATCCAACTGTACTGTACTTGCAACCGACAGATTGATTCTATTCTATGATTGGTAATTAGTCACTGCTGTTAAGAAGAACTATTCTAGTGAGTAGTATACTGGTAGACCATGCATTGCCGACCAGGACATTATGGTAGAACTATAGTCAATGCAATATTAACCCAATCTATGGTTAGCTATGTCCAAAGTAAGAACCTGTTTACGCATGTTTTGAACAACTCCTAGTGGTCTATCGATACTGTACAATGGTTATCTTCTAATCAAGGATAAACTGTCCCCAAATTGGATAATGCTCGTCTGTAGTCAATTGAATAGTGAAAAGTACCAATACGATTTAGGCAATCTAGATTATCCTATAAGGAAAGAAAATAACTCTCCATCCCCGCAAGGATCGATTGATGCATTCGGCTCGTACCTTGACTGGAGATGGAACCTTTCGGTAAGACTTGATCGTTGATTGGCTTTTAAATGCTGGCCCCAAAAAAAGAAGAAAGAGAAAGACGATTAACGATTCAACTGATGTTCTTTGTCCATTTTAGGAATGAAGCCTAATTAATTTAAGTTAATCTATGGTGCTTGGTGGCCAATAATAGCCATTTGTCAATGATGTAGAGTGGATTGTGAATAGCAGTCGAATGACGACGTCAACAGACTAGAAAGTTGGTGTACGACGTCGAATAACATTCGTTTACTGATTGATTATGGCCACGGAAGCGCTTTGGCGTAATATGACGAGGAACAAAAACCAGGAAGGAAATAACAAGAATTCAAGTATCAAGACTCGTATCCATGCTCCAATTTGAAGCATTTATTGATGGTCCCCCACCCCAATTGACGTCAGTTTCTCTCTTTCTAAGGACAATGTTGCCATCACGATGCTAGTTTGCAAATTGTTCATGACATCGGGTCGATAGGAAGACAAGGCATCATTGCTGATTCATTTATCCCTTGGAGTGTAAGTCTATGCTATGTTGAAGATGGATCAAATTACAGTCCATTTATTCTTCTATTGGTCATGCATTTCATGCTAGAACATGGACTGCTTGTACAAGCGTTTACGATCGGCCGATTGCTAGAGTTAGAGTGGTGATGATGGCAACAAGTCGATGGAAAGTATAGCATCCAACCCTGGCCATTCTCATCTTCAACGTCAATATTATTGCTACAGTAAGATCGCTCTCGAGTTGAATACTAGTATTGCCATGACAGTTACTTTCTCGAAAAGAAAAATGAGACAGTCTCTACTCTATACAAGGGATCCGATTGGCAAGCTCTATCTATTAACCTCCCTATTGAATAAAAAAAAAGTGTTTACAAGATGGAGCTATTCTATCCAACCCTGTGGAATAATAAGGCATTCAAGACAGCCCATGGCTAATGCCTTGGTATGGTAAACAAGATTGTGCCAGGACAAGTCGCACAACAAAAGGTTGACGTACTAACGCTGTCCAACTTCTCCATGATGGAAGTGCTCGAAAATGATCCAGTCTCTACCTCTGCCCATTAGTTGACTGTACTCTTGGATCTAATAGTTCCTTCTGGGTTGTATGAAGAGTGATGCATGAGATGAACATGGAGTCCAACGGGGGATCCACTTAGAAGAACGATGGATCGCTATGGTCAATGGGGTTGGATTTAATGCACTCTTTTCCAGCCTTCATCAAGCTGGATAATCTACTCCAGTGTTGACACCTTGATTGAACTCATGAATACTACCGCAATGGCAACGGCGTCTGAATTTTCATCCACTCCCATCTCACCATGGCGCCACTAAGAAAACGCCATCAAATAGACTACTGGACGATAACCAACCTATCAACTAACCTAAATACAATCTTCAATTGGCCTACTGCTATCCCAATTTCAGGCGATCGCCAACTTTTCCCCAGCGCTGCTGCGTTCCGTCTCACGGCTCTTTCACAATGTTTCCTGGCGTCCGAGGATCTTCTACCGTAGGCCCGCCGCCAGTCTTCAGTCCACTACTCTACACTGTAGAGTCTACAGTACCAAGGCAAACAGCGTCACAGTGGCAAAACTTCCCTACCAAGTCTCAGCCAGCAAGCTTCCTATCTATTGTACAGTACACTGTACTGTACACTGTCGACTACAGTCCACCATCTACAGTATCTGCTTCATGCGTACTGTACACTGTACACTGTACTGTGGGTATTGCAGCCGATAAACTTGAACAAGAAAAATCAATCCATCATTCTCTTTATCCTGCACAAACTATCCATCCATTTGTAATTCTATTTTACTAGCTATCGATGAAACTGCTCTCTACGAAGTAAAATACAACGACAAGATGCCGGGCTCGACTGTCCTAATGAACATAATACCTATTGGTCAAACTGCTTTCTACGTAGTAAAATACGATGACAAGATGCCGGACTCGACTGTGCTAATGAACATAATAGCTATGGATGAAGCTGCTCTCTACGTAGTAAAATACGATGACAAGATGCCGGACTCAACTGTACTAATCAACATAATAGCTATGGACGAAGCTGCTTTCTACTTAGTAAAATACGATGGCAAGATGCCGGACTCGACTGTGCTAATGAACATAATAGCTATGGATGAAGCTGCTCTCTACGTAGTAAAATACAATTCCAAGTTGCCGGACTCAACTGTACTAATCAACATAATAGCTATGGACGAAGCTGCTTTCTACTTAGTAAAATACGATGACAAGATGCCGGACTCGACTATACTAATCAACATAATACCTATTGGTCAAACTGCTCTCTAGGTAGTAAAATACAATTCCAAGATGCCGGACTCGACTATACTAATCAACATAATACCTATTGGTCAAACTGCTCTCTAGGTAGTAAAATACAATTCCAAGATGCCGGACTCGACTATACTAATCAACATAATACCTATTGGTCAAACTGCTCTCTAGGTAGTAAAATACAATTCCAAGATGCCGGACTCGACTGTACTAATCAACATAATAGCTATCGATGAAGCTGCTCTCTACGTAGTAAAATACAATTCCAAGTTGTCGGACTCAACTGTACTAATCAACATAATAGCTATGGATGAAGCTGCTCTCTACGCAGTAAAATACAATTCTAAAGATGCCGGACTCGACCGTGCTAATCAACATAATACCTATTGGTCAAACTGCTCTTTAGGTAGTAAAATACAATTCCAAGATGCCGGACTCGACTGTACTAATCAACATAATAGCTATGGATGAAGCTGCTCTCTACGTAGTAAAATACGATGACAAGATGCCGGACTCGACTGTGCTAATGAACATAATAGCTATTGATGAAGCTGCTCTCTACGCAGTAAAATACAATTCCAAGATGCCGGACTCGACTGTACTAATGAAAATAATAAGTATAGTAGAGTCCGGCATCCTGTAATTCTACAATTTTACTAGCTATTGGTCAAACTGCTCTCTAAGTAGTAAAATACAATGACAAGATGCCGGACTCTACTGTACTGTACTAATGAACATAATAGCTATTGATGAAGCTGCTCTCTACGTAGTAAAATACAATTCCAAGATGCCGGACTCGACTGTACTAATGAAAATAATACCAATTGGTCAAACTGCTCTCTAGGTAGTAAAATACAATTCCATGATGCCGGACTCGACTGTGCTAATGAAAATAATACCTATTGGTCAAACTGCTCTCTAGGTAGTAAAATACAATTCCAAGATGCCGGACTCTACTCTTCTAATGAAAATAATACCTATTGGTCAAACTGCTATCGAGTTAGTAAAATACAATTCCAAGATGCCTGGACACATCTTTCATACAGAACTAAATAAGATGTGTTCAGACTTTCCGGACCCCCTGTACTAGTAGCAAAAATCATTATAAAGTGATGCTGTACTTGGAACTTTTTGTTTGGGGAAGAAAGTGAAACATAAAAAGAGACACTCTTGTCTCGATAATTGCACTCTCAATCCAATCATTTCTCATAGAATATGCCATGGTGTAGTGAAGCTGCAGGATTCGTTATTCTTGTCAGCATGCTATGCAAAAGTATATTACTAGACCAGAATTGCTGTATCTAGCGATGGTTTCGATCACTCAGGGTTGTTAAATTCAGCTTTGTCAAAACTAATCCTATCCACACATTTTCGTTCATATACCAAGTCCTGTAGGTTCAAGCAATGTAAATCAAACATTTGTTGTTTACAACCTTGGAATTGTAAGCTCGATGTCGTATTCAGGCAGCTAGGTTATTTCCATAGAGCTATGGGGTCTCAGATCTGCTACTATTGTTGTAAGAAAGTTAACCTGGCTTCCAGATATGGTTACATTATAACGTGGTATCTCAAATCGATAGACAATCTGAGATAAATTCTCTCTTTAGGTGATCTAAACGTCGACTGGAGTTGTCAAACAAGTTGTGGTACACGTCTTCAAAAAATGCTACTGAAACGGTTAGAATTAATAAAGTCAGTCATTACAGGATAGACTTCAGAGACATGATTCGATCCATTACATCTCCCCATTTCGTATAAGATATTCTGCTGTGAATATAAAATATATCCGCAATACGATTTTAGTATAGCTACTGTGCAGTGTACAGGAACCAATTGTGGTTTAACGCTACCATGTAAATAAAATAAAATACTGTACTGGTTATCATCTGACATTTTCAAAACATTTGATCATAATACGGTAGCTTGAAACTACAGTTGATCCACAATTTTACTGTATATCGAGGTTAAAGCTATCAAAGCTGATTATAATAGAGGGCTGCCAGATCAATGCTTTTCCTAAACGAATATAAGTAATGGTCGTTCCTGAATTGAAAGTAACAATTTCCTTCTGTTTATAATGATGAGATTCAAGGTAAGCTAAAGCGTTTCAATATATATTCATACATTCTCGTATGCACAATCCATACGAATAAGGCGCATCGCCGTGTATGCTAGTAAGTTTTACTGAAACCGAAACTTCCGCTAATGATACATTGCTATACTACCCACTGCCTTGATAGCCGGCTTAAGGCATTGCAAAATATTATATTTAGTCATAGACTCCTAAAAGAGTAGCCCATAACTTACTGTACTGTACATTGTAAAGTATACAACGCAGAATGGCAAATTTATACATATCCCTGCTTAACCATTGGTAGCATCTAAGCTTTGTCAAAGTATAAATTCAATTTATGATCAGCCTAGTAATGATCTGTCAACAATATTTAGACAACATACAAAAGGCTATTCTTACAGTATGGTTTTCATAGTCGGTTTTATTAATTGGCAAGCAAAAATGGATAAAATTGTTACTCGTGAATCAAGTCAAGTACTTTCGTTAATATTAGCTCTGTTATATACTACTGTAAGTAAGTGACTACATAGGATATCCGGTTTATGCCTCTATAGGCTGGAATGATCTCCATATGATAGTGCTTGTAAGATTTTGCGGTTTAGTATGGTTTGAGTAATGCCTTAATTAGCATCATCAACAATGATTTACTGTAAGAGAAAAGCAATTGCCGATATACCTTGTCTTTGGATGATCCATTTGCAAAAATGATCATATTATGTACAGTAAGTATAGATCTAGTCAGGACTTTATTCTTAGGGTTGTTTCTACATAGTGCACATTTTCTAAGAGAGAATCATTTCATAACTGCTATCGTAAGATACTAATTGTCGTAATGTAGAAATTTCAGGTAATTTATTAATAACATTTTCGTTTTGTTTATCGGTAGAAAACAAAATAAAATATATATTTTATTTCAAAATTGTAGTTTGAGGGGCTAGCTGATTAAATGCTTAGAAGATGGCTAATGAAATATTGTAAACATCCCAGTACTACCTTACAACAATCTACGGGTAATTTATAGACTAACCAATGGACAAGTGTGGTCTTATCTCTAATCTACGAGTCGTTAAAAACGGCAAAAGTGTTTTGTTGTAGAGTTAATAATGTAATCTGACTAAATGGTATTTCTCTAAGCTTTGCTACAATGCCCGACTAAGCTTTAGCCAATAATTTATTATGGCAAACGTTTCTGCGTAGTGGCAATACAAGGCTAACCCTTTCAATATTTATCAAGCGTAATACGGTAATCCGTTGGTATAATCCAAATAGATTAAATTAATTATTGTTAGGACAGATTCTACAGTAATAAGAAACAATAATAGTTTAACATTAACGTAGCTGATTTAATATGACAGCTATGCCTTATTGATGGACTGCCACAAAATTCCCTGCTTTGCAACCTCAAATGTATCAAAATGGAAAGTTACAGAATAAATATGTTCATAATCACTTATTCTGAAATCCATTATTAAATTAGAGGATTTTTAGTAATTATCGTGGATAAATACTGTAAAAGTGAAAAAGTTCAAGGGATAAGAAACAATACCGCTGGTATTGCGAAGGCTCAATTAATAGCTATCCGGTTTTTCACGTCTAAAATTTCGAATTCTACAATTAAACAGCTCATTTGAAACCATGTCAACGTCTTTCATTAAGAATTTGTCTTTTACTTTTAATAGTTTATCATCATTTGATGTTGCCCTGAGATATAAGTTGTTTGTATTTTTACGAACGCAGCGAAAATACCATGGCTGATCTGATTCTAAATAATAATAAGCTTTACAAGAACATATGGTCTATTGTATTTATCTAATGATGTCATTATTAGCTTTGATAATTATAGAATCTGCCTTACATGATAATAATGGTATTCATGTGGTATAGGAATGAAAGAGATTTGTCAACAGATACATTCCGGGCTTTGCGTTTCCCATAAATTAAATCGGAACATTTCTTTGTCTGGTACAAAGTTGAAAAAAATTCATTAACTTTGTTTATTGATTTATGAATATGACCTAGGTGATATTGCCTACGTTTTATGAGGATGAACATTTATGGGAATTTGTCACAAATTTCTTCTTTGTGAACGCTTAACTCCTCTAATAACTAATATCCTAATACATTCGGGGGGGGGGTACGTGCAGGTAATCAATTACTGGAAAAGTATTCAGTTAGAAAGATAGTTTATTTGTTGTATCACTCGACTAGCCTTTATCATACTGAATTTCGGAACTCTCCTAGTCATTGTGAGCTCATTCCTTTCATAATCTCGCATGGTGGCAAGGCACGGTAACATTTCTTTGTGTAGTACAAAATTGAAAAAATTCATTAACTTTGTTCATTGCTATACGAATATGACTCAGGTGATATGACGTACATTTTATAAGGATTAAGATTTATAGTTATATATCGAAGAGGATTAATTAACGGCTGCTATTATTCTAACAAAATTTAGCATCTTGTAAAGTGCAAAAAATCTATTATCACAGAATGCTTGCTGACATATGTACTAGTTTAACCTAAGCATTCACTTTGAGTTCCTCCGGTAGATTACTGCGGTTTACACGTTTAGATTTCGTTTGAATGTACGTGTATAATCTGCTCTTTATTTCTAATCTCGACGTCTTATATATACCTTTTTTTCTGGTATTTCCAGTACATTCCATCTCATATCAGTGTTATCAGTAATACTTTAGTGTGTAGTGAACAGCCATAACACAATTATACCCTTAAATATTTACATAACAGTACTGAATGACGAGCTAATCGTGCGTATGATATTTCGCTACTAATTATGACAGTGTAGTGCACTTAAGAATCGTAATAACTACCTTGATCTGTCGTAAGATCTAGTAAAACTACAACACTACTACTATAACCCTCAAGAACTACCCTAAGAACAAACTCCTCTTAAAGGCTTATAATTATGACCAGTAGAGAT